TTATTTTCTATCACTTTTTAAAAGGAGGCAAATGAGTAGAAATTGAACAATTCCCCTCAAAAGTTGTTTTTTTTTTTTTTGAAATTAACTTTTCTTAAATATATATATATATTTAAAGAACAAAAATTCATATGTAACCTTCATAATTCTCTTTCAAAATACTTTGAAAACTATTTTCTTGTTTTATATTCTCATAAATATCATTCTAAGCAAGCATTATTTTTTCATTCTTTGAAAACAATGGCTACTAAAAAAATGCAAGCAGGAAGTATTTTTTGGCTGACAGTAAAGGCTTTTCCCTTAATGTTGAGAAGAAACCTGAGTTTCTTTACTGTGGAAGCTGAAAGACAAAGAATCAGGAATTCTGTTCTTCTACCATTAAGTAGATAGGACATTTTTTTTCCTGTGCATCCCATAGTACTCAAAAATCTACACAGGGAAAGAACAAGGTGACAGCCCCAAATGCTAGCTAAAATATTTCTTTACTGAAAGTTTCTACTGATAGGAGTATACAAAACTCATTTAAGGTACTTAGAGAGTCAGTTTTTGTCCATTTTCCATACATATAAGAATAACGTCAATATTGATGTATTGGGTATTGATGATGAGACTACAAATCTGAAACAGATGTATCAATATACTAAAATATGTTATTACATGTGCCCATAATTAATAAAATAATAAGAGGAGACTGAAAGAAGCTAATCTGAACAACTGACATTTTCTCTTGCAAAACATTCTCTTCTGGGGCAAACAAAATAAAGTGCCAATAATTTCTAAGCCTACACCAGAGAGGGCTATAGCAAAATCCAGAAGAATAAAAACATTGTTTTACAGCTCCTGTAGAAGTTTGTTGATGAATAATTTTTATTAAAATAATCCTTCTGATGGTGACAAATAAAACTGAATGCGGACCTTGTCTCCCAGTCTAGATTTCATGAATATAATAATATAAAAGTTGATTAAAATGGCTGACATTTGGGTAGAATTACTGAACGTGTTGAATGTACAAAGCCAAATTCACATTTGTCATGGTTCTATGTTTGTTTGTTTGTTTGTTTTATTTTGGGTTTCAGTATTCCACATCAAAACATCATGTAGTGTACAGGGCCCCAATCCCAGCTACCTATCCCTGTACATTACAGCAGTCACGGGATCTGGCCCTTCCAGGTGGGGGGGCGCTCTCTTGCTGCCTGGCAGTGGGTGCTGGAGGTGCTTTCCTGGCCGTTCCAAGCTGTTCAGGTTTGAATCGGTCCCGGGAACTCTCTCTCTCATCTTGTCTGATTTATTAATCTCAATTTCAATTAAATTGTATATATTGTGTTATCTTGTATTCCGATATTATAGTAAAATAAGTTTTCCTCCATAGATTGTTGCCGCTGCTCTTTTCCTCCCTTCCTTCCTTCCCATTTTTGTGGGACTGGGGTGGGGGGGGAGGACAGAGGCCTGTCGCCTCTGTCACGGACATAGATTGATCTGATCAACTCCGTGACAGATTTTTTGGCACCCAACGTGGGGCACAAGCTGCTTTTTAGCTTTTAGAACGAATCTCATTTTCTTTCTGCTCTTAGAGAGCTTCGTTAGGGAGCATTATCAGTAGTTCAAGTGTCTGTGCTGAAAAACCTGACCTTGAAAGATTAGGCGTACTGCCAGTGTTCTGGGATATTTGTAAACTTTGAGCACTACTTAGTCTGGGTAGTGCCTTTTTTTCCTTTTTTTTTTTCCCTCCTCTTGTTAGCTTCAGTTCATTAACCCCTTTCTAGCAAGCACCAGTGATGAACCCACTTGTTATCGTGGGGATGCTGGGTAAAGGATTTAAAGCAATGGTGTTACTCACAACCTACTGGCCAATAATCCATCTCACACTTGTGTGTTGTGGAATTGCATTCATATATAACTACCTAAGGACACTGATGGAGACACCTATGTTTTACCTGTTTTACCTACTTGCAATGTGGTATGATTTGAATTTTGACATTTACATTCCAGAAGGAATGGCTAATTTCACAAGCAACTACATCCCAGAAGGAATGGCTAATTTCACAAACAGCTACATCCCAAATGGAATAGCTAATTTTACAAACAACACAATGTTCAGACCAGTCTCTGGGTTTTCTTCTCGGTTTATCAAACGTTTTTCGAATCTTGAATTAATACTCATGTTGGTGAGTGTGTCATCAATACTCATGTTGGTGTGCATGTTGTTAATTCTCCTGAGTGTACTCCAACGCATTCGTAATAAGGAGTCTCCTCCAAAACTAGAGAATGATGACTGGTTGGGAATAAGGAGAGGTTTAAGAAAGGTCTTAGAAGCATGGGGACCCATAGTGTCATGGGATTTTACTCTTGAACACCTGTGGGATCCTGAGAAACTAAGCCAATATTTGAGTCAGGGACTATGCGGCTTACATAAATCTAAGGAGGTACAACTTATTTGGGGTTTGGCTTGTGCTTACCGTGCCCTATATAGCACCATTCTGGAGAGAGAGAGTTTCCGAGCTGAGGTTCAAGCCAAAGGGGAAAATCCCCAAGTCAAATCTAATCAATCACAGGAGACACCAGTAACAATTCCAGTTGCTCCTGTGGAGGGCAAGAAATGGAAACGAGTGTCTTCGCGTCTTGAACGAAAAAGAGAAGAGGAGGAGGAGGAGGTGGAGGAAGATCCAGGCGAGGGGCCCTCCTCAGAACCACCACCATCACGAAAGGCAAAAGGGAAAACTAAGAGACATGCAGAAGAGAGTGATGAAGAGGAAATCTCTATTACTACTCGCCGGCCTCTAAAGATGACTGAAATCCAAGGTTCAAGAAAGGAGTTTACACGGCACCCGAATGAAAGTCTTGTTTCCTGGTTGGTTCGCTGTTGGGACAGTGGGGCCCATAGCTTGTCTCTGGATGGTAATGAAGCTCGCCAGCTAGGTGCCATTGCCAGAGACCCAGCTATCGATAGAGGAATTAGTCGATGCTCGGATGAGGCTGCCTCCCTCTGGGAACGAGTGTTAATAGCTGTGAAGGAAAAATATCCCTTCAAAAACGGTTTGAAGATTGCGATGAAAAAATGGGATACAGTTGAAAAGGGCATCCAGTATTTAAGAGAAATAGGCGTGGTGGAAATGTTGTATGACCCTAACTTTGTTCCTAACCATCCACGCCAAGACCGCGACCCTGAAAAAGTGAGGACGACACCTGAGATATGGCAGAAACTCGTAACAACAGCACCGGACAAATATGCCTCTACACTGATGTCAGCGTGTGACAGATACCAAGAACAACAGAGAACGCCCTTCATTTATGAATTAATTCTTACGCTCCAAAACTATCAACAGTTGCTATCCCCCATTCATGCTGCTGTAGCCGCCATCTCAAAAGTGACGGACCAACTGAATGAAACGCGGCAGCAAATGTCTCAACTGATTAACCATGACATTCCAGAAATCCTAACCGCTAGACCATGTGGGAAGTAGGATTTCTGGTTTTCACCCAGGCAGCCCAGGTTCGACTCCCGGTGTGGGAACCAAAAAAATCTGTCACAGAGTTGATCAGATCAATCTATGTCCGTGACAGAGGTGACAGGCCTCTGTCCTCCCCCCCCACCCCAGTCCCACAAAAATGGGAAGGAAGGAAGGGAGGAAAAGAGCAGCGGCAACAATCTATGGAGGAAAACTTATTTTACTATAATATCGGAATACAAGATAACACAATATATACAATTTAATTGAAATTGAGATTAATAAATCAGACAAGATGAGAGAGAGAGTTCCCGGGACCGATTCAAACCTGAACAGCTTGGAACGGCCAGGAAAGCACCTCCAGCACCCACTGCCAGGCAGCAAGAGAGCGCCCCCCCACCTGGAAGGGCCAGATCCCGTGACTGCTGTAATGTACAGGGATAGGTAGCTGGGATTGGGGCAGTGACACTTTAATGCCCTGTACACTACATGATGTTTTGATGTGGAATACTGAAACCCAAAATAAAACAAACAAACAAACAAACATAGAACCATGACAACATTGAATATTAATAAAGAAATAATTCTCATTATATGGGCAGACAACAAGATTTTGAAAACTTGCTGTTGGCATAACGGGGAAAGTCCACCTCATAATACTCTTAAGCTATGTCAATTTTCAGTCACTGAGGGTGACTAGAATTACTCCTCCAACTAAAAACATTTCATAGTAAGACTATGCAAAATATAGTAACTGTTGTCTGATTATATAATCTGGTCACCTAACTCTCCTGAAATTCCCTGACTTTCATAATGCTTCTACTTTACATCTCCTAGGCACTCGGTTCTTTTTCTTTGTTCCATGTATCCTTTTTTCACAATATGCCTTCATTATGTTCATTTGTTAATGTCTCCCCCCAGAATAATTTTACTTTATAGAAAAAAAAAGTCACAGACCTTCCACACCCCACCTCATATGCTCTCTCATCTGATTCATGTTTTCTCACCATCTCAAAAACCGCCTGGAGAAGAGTACTCTGATATTCTGTTACTTGTGCCTAATTCAACACAACCATGCATTTTGCTGATGTTTGGAGAGTACTGCAGTGAATGAGTTATTGAAAACAGAGGAGTACAGCAGCTTTGGCAAGAGAATAAAGTTCTATTTGTTAACCCAGTTTCTTGTGTTTGGTGAAAATATAACTGATTATTTAACTGAAATTTAACTGACATTTTTGCAGTGATAAAAATGTAATGATATACTTGCTGGCAAACTTGAAAATGCATGAGAAATCAAGTTCAATTTTCATTCATGTTTTCTTTTCTGTAACTCCAAAAAAGGTACTCTTCTCTAGAGAAAGTTAGAATAAAAAGGAAATTCCTCTCTCCTCACTGCAATTACCCTGTGTTATTTCTTAAGTTGCATCATTTTTCCTTAAGAAGAGCTTAAACTTATCATTTGAAGCAATTGCCAACATAAATTTAGCAAATTTAGAGAACAAAAGACAATACAAAGAAAGATGACAAATAGACATTATGAAATTCAAACCATACTTTAGAACTGACAACTTCTTTTTCATCTTCCATGGCTTGTTTCGTAATGTGGCGATTAGCTTCTTTTTTTCTTCTACCTCTTCTTTCAGTTTGGCCAATTCCTCCTCAGTAATCGGCTCCTCCTCAGAGTCAGAATCAGAGCTTCAGCCAAAAATGGGAACAAGAAACATCACAAAAAATTAAGACGGACATAAGTTTTCGTGGAGCATAGACATGGTATAAATTCATAGAAATTCTAAGACCTAGAACAATGCTTTCTCTGTTGCACTGAAGAGAAAACAGACTCACTGTTTAGCATCAATGCAAAGGCTGCATTGTGCTTCACCAGCATTACACCCCACGCAGTCACACTACACATGAAAAGCAGCAGTCACTCTGGGGATGCGTCCTGCAGGAGTAACCAGCCTTTCTGGGAGTCCAAACCAACTCTGCAAATCAGGACTGGTGCCATAAAAAATGAACTTTTTCATCACACTTCTGTGTGCCTCAGAAGAGAGAAGACAGGTTTAAACACCAGTTGACAGCCCATCCACTAATCAAAGCAGTAATTTTTCAGAGATGGGAAAAATTCAGAAATCCACCTGGGTCTGCTTTTCTGTGAGCAATCTTATCACACGCAGTGGCGTACAGCACATCTCTAGCAACAAATGTGACTTCATATGTCATCAAACAGGAAATTAATAAGTAAGAAATCACCAGAATTTGATTTCCTGCCCACTGTGATGACTACCATAAACTGAGCTCTTAGAAAAAAAATTGATGTGTTTCTATTTTCTGTTGTCTTTGCTTTTCTTTAATGTTTTGAAAATTTTGAAATATACTACTTTAAAAAAGAAGTTTTCTGTTTTGTTTTGTTAGCAGTAATTCAAACTTTATCAAGTCTCAGAATCAATCTTCTGTGACATTCAAAATCCAGTGTCAGAGCTGACTCACTATGTAAGCCAAATAACAGAATAGTTTCAAGTCCTCTGGAAACCTGAAGATCTTTTTCTCTTCTGCTCACACTGATGACAAAGACATAGTCTGATATAAGCGTGATTTAAAGAAAGTATCTGAATGCATTCTCTCCTTTAGCAGTGTTTGGCAGCAAGAATATTTATGGAGTTTCAAAACAAAAGCAAAAATATTTGGTAATGTGTACACGTGAATTTCTCATTATTCATCTACCTTAGGGTATTATGAAATAGACAACATTACATCAAAATCTGCAGGAGATAATTTAAAAACTGCAGGCATACAAAAGTAAATCAACGGAGGTGAGAGACTCTCAGAGTAATCAGATGAAGCAACATTAATGACTCAAATGTCATTTACCGAACATTAAGAAGTTGAATTAATTGGCCTTCAAATTTCAGGATTCATGGTATGAAAACAGCTCAACAGAAAATATAAATCTAGAGATATCAAGATGCTTCTGAAGAATTTTGAGAACAGACATATATATGGCTGTTCTAACGTTGTGATGAAAAAGTGAATAGGCCAAATGGATAAAGTCAGTAAAAGTATACATACATACAATTATACAATTCTAGTGCATTTTAAAGAAAAAAAGAAAAGAAAAAACAAGTGATTTGAGAAAAAATAAAGAAAAAAAGTTTAAAATCCTTATTTTTTACAATCAGTTATTTAGCATTATACAATGCTCAGTACTGAGAACTTCTTTTGACAGAAGAAGATAGTAGAGTTAGGCAAAATTGAAATATACAGATGTACAAGGCTGCAGTGAGAGTAGAGGGAAATATGGTGGGCAGGTGTTAATATAGTTACCTTACTGAAGAGAGAAAGCCGTGCAGAACACAAGCACAGTTATTAATGGTTCTTTTGCCAATTGCTCACTACTGCTCTATTTTCCATTTTTAACTTTCCTTTAGAGCCAGAAAAACATTCAAAATTCAATTTTTTTTAACCCATCTTTAAGAAATCTAATTGATTTTATTTACTTGGGTTTTTCAAGAGTCTTTACAAAACACAACCAAACTTTGTGCAATTGCAACTCATTCAGTGGCTGAACACTGTAAGATTCAACCCAGGAAATCAGAATTATGCCTTCAGCGAGCAAAAGTCTCAGTCTTTCAAGAAAGACAGTGTTTCATACATTTAAAGGGTAGAAGAGATCACCATGACCTTCAGGCTAACACAGAGCAGAAAGGATTGCTCAATAATTCCAAAATAATCTTTGTTTTCCTTGACTTCAATTCAATATACACAGTGCATCTTTTCTTAAGTCTTTAAAGCTCTTGAAATCGATGACACTGACTTAAATTATATACTTGATGAACCTGTCTGTAATATTCATCTGTGTTCTGGTTTTAGTCTTATCTCTTTTATACGGATTTAAATTATATTTATTATGCTTGCTGTAAACGCTATTTTATAGAACTGAAAATATCTTCTAGGAGCTTGGGTATTTTCAGGGAAAAGAGCAGTAGGACTCTGGATAAACTGAATAAATTTGACTACTTTTTTCTTTCTGTGTGTGTGAGACAATTCTACTGCTCAATGATAATCCCCATAACACCCCCTGGCACTTCCTAGCATAAAGAAGATGCCGTGCCAGTACTGCCTTAAAATTCTATGTACCTCTGGACTCCTGAAAAAGCTCTGTATCTTCCAATAATTCAACTAAACTCTGATTGATTTGCTCAGAGTATAAAAAGAAATGCACAGACTAAAAAGAATATAATATTCCTTTTCTACTTGTAGCTTCAACAGACGGTTACTACCAGGTGCACTAGCTATTGTAGACAATTAAACAAGTCAGTAAGGAACAAAAATCTAGCTTTTGAACCAAGGTGCATGACAGAAATCAAGAAATATCACAGATCCTCACAAGGAGTAATCCTCATATGGAGTAATTTGTCAAAATATTTTGGGGATGATATAGAGAGGTCCTTCTCACACCCCACTAAGAGATACCAATCACTAAAGTGATCGAGAAACAGCTTCCATAGAATTGCCATAGAATTACCTTATGAAACTCACTATAGGACGATCAAAACTTCAAGCAGGTTGAAAAAAAAGAAAAAAAGATTTAGAATATGTATGAGCACAAAGTTCATCTAGGAGTTCTTTAAGCAGAATGATTAGTTTATAAAGAGTTATTTCTAGTTAAGGTGAAAAGCAGGATGCAGGAAAATAGTAAGCAAAGCAGAATCTACTGACTTCTGATATTTAGCCAAAAAGTAACTGTTAATTGTTTGTGGACAACAAAATCCACAGAAACATTAACAAATACAATATTCCCCTGTGGGATTATACCACATCTTCTCTACTTTCTATATTAATTTTACTTTTTATTTGTTTCATTTTGTCTCTATTTTGGCTATTAAAAAAGGTACATCAGTAAAAGTGGTGAGGCACTGAAATAGTTTGCTCAGAGAGGTGGTGGCTGCCATATACTGGAGAAATTCAAGGTCAGGCTGGACAGAGCTCTGAGCACTCTTCAGATTTTGTTCATTGCAAGGTAGTTGAACTAGCTGACCTTTAAAGGTCCCTTCCAACTCAAATTTATATGAGTCTATGAGATATTATCAAAGAATATTTAGCTTTTACTACGGTAGGTCCTCACAGAATTGTTATATGGGCTACACTTCTGTGCTCACATCACTCTCTCCTGTTCTAAGATATGCAAATCATTCACATAAACAATAGTTGAACAGATCACTATCATTTTTCCCTTTGCTGTTTTTTTTTTTCCTGTTGAAAATCCTTTTAAATATTCTTGTATTTACTATCACATAATCTTGTTGGATGGTGCTCTAAATGTCTAAGAATATAATGTTCTTCAAGTATCTTCCAGAGCATCATCAGATTTTCTTCAAATGTGCTGTCAACTTTCAGAAACAACATGCTGATCTGGATAGAAACTGAATTTCTTCAGACTAAACGTGTATTTTAATGTTCAGAGTTTTGTAATACAATTAAAAACATTATGTGTTCATTTAAATTTATATTTTAAGTGGCTTTTTTAAAAAATTAACACTCAATAAATGCTTGCAAGGGATGACAACAGCAATAAGCAAAGGAACAAGTGTTGGCAGATTCAGTCCTGTTGCTTTTATGAGTATAGGAAATTGTACAGTGGGGAACAATTGGCACCACAGAAATAAGCCAGCACAAAGGAAGATTTTAGATATTCTTGTAGGGAAAGGAAGTGAACTAGAAATGTACTGAAATCGGATCATAAACAAATTAATGCAGCAGCATATCTCATTGTATTTTCTTTTCCTTCTGACTCCTGCTGTGCTGCGTAGTGCTGCCTTTGGGAACATAAACAGCTGTAGCAAGTGCTGAATGGAGGAAGGAAGATTCCTGTTCCTCTCCAACGAGATGAGCATGCTGAGCTCCATTAGCTCTTTCGTACACTGTTCTCAGGGACTGTTTCCTTAAAATATCATGAAAACAGGCATGCTGCCAGGGAAAACCAGGATGACAGAAGAAGAATAAAAAGAGTTTTCAGAAGTGTTCTACGCCAGAGCAATTTTCCAAAGACCCCAGGTTGCACTAAATGCACTGGAAAAGGAAATTTTCAGTGGGAGTTAAGTGATAGACAAACTTTGGAAAATTTTGTCTCCGTGCTTGATTCTGAACTCTTAAAGTTTTCATCTGTTACAAAAAAAGCTGGTTCAAGGCTGGATAGGAAATAAGACCTTGAACTTTTGGAAAGTGTCAAGAATTTGATTCTGCACTGGAAACAGAACTAGATCCTGGGATTCTGGGCAGTGATTGGTTTTGGCTTTTTATTTGGTTTTGGTTGTTTGGTTGCTTAGGAAAAAAGTAGCAGATCTCACTCACTGTCATTCTGTCACTTGTTCCTTCCTCTGTCACTCCAGAGAACAGCTCAAGAATGTGAGACACTTAACTACAGTAAGGGAGACCCCAGCTGAAGTTTCTGTTCAGATTTATGAGATTTGTCTCTAATGTCAGAACACTGGTGGTATCAGAAATGTCTGTACAGTCATTTTCAAAAGTTCCACCCTGGACACATGATAGCCCTTGACCACATTTCACTGTAGTGGATTTGGCTCTATGGACAGTTTCCACTTCACTCAGAATCTCCTAATTGCAGAAGAAAATAAAATAAAACCTCCTGTTCAGCTTTGGCAAGGAGCTATGCCAACTCTTGGCATTTCACAGCTATAAATAAAAACAGGTTTTACATAAGGCAACAATTGTTTTATATTTATATATATATATATGTATATATAAAATTACCCAGATCCTGATTTCTTTTTGTCCTTTTTCTTCTTGTTGGCCTTTTCTTTCTTCCCTTTCTTATCAGCCTTTTTGTCCTGTTTCTTCTCATTTTTGCCTTTCCCACTCTTACCCCCTTTTTCATCTTCCTCTTCTTCACCATCTTCCTTTGATTTTTGATTTGCCTGGTTCTTCCTGGCTTTTGTAGGATCCCCCTCAGAATCACTGCCCTCATTTCCACCTGCTCGGCTCCGTCCTCTCCGGTTTCTTTGCCTGCGTTGCCCAGCTCTCCTTGTTCCATCTTCATCATCTCCATCCTCCTCACCACCATGCCTGGCTCTTCCTCTTCCATGTCCCCTTCTGGTTCTTGGTTTTGCTCTCTTCCTCTCTTTATCTGTGACAGAAATGAACATATGAGAGAAGTTCGTATGTTAGAGAGAGACCTTCCTTCCTTGTTTCATTTACGTAAATGAACGTGGCCTCAAAGTTATCCACACCTACTGACCTGCTCCTCTGTCATTTTCTTGATTCTCGGCTGCACTGTCTTCTTCATTGTCGACCTCACTGGCATCTGTAATTAGAAAACAAAAGCCAGTGCATGTGAAGTGTGGATTAGTCAGTAGGAACGCAGAGCGTTTAAGAAATTTACCACATTGTGCTCTCTTACATCATTCCACAAATCCAGCTATTTGAACAAGGAGAACAGCTTTCAAGAAATCAGATGAAAACAGAAATAAAAAAAGTTTTATCTTCTTTGAGCACTAAAGTAAGTAAAATTGAAAGTGATGGCACAGAGATCTTAATCTTACAGAGCACATACGTAGGACAGAAGGACCCCAAAAAAAGAAACACTGTAACCAGCAGCACCCTGTAACTGAAGGAATAAATAAAGGAAGATGAAGATGATTCTCAAGCAATTCTCAGATTTTCTTAGATGTGTGAAAGATAAGCACTGGCTGAGATTAAAGATTAAAAGAGTCATTAAATGATTTGACAGACGGGAGAGGATGAAATTTTATAGCTGTAGCACTGCTGGAGAACACAATCCCAGAGGAAAGAAGAAAGTTGCTCTCAGATCTTCAGTTTCAGCAACCACATCTCTAAGCATATGATGAAAGTTGACACAGCTCTGTTGTATTCTGTACAATGGTCCTCTTCTGTCCCTCAGGAGATGACAGAAACCTTGCAGACTTTGGAGGGAGAGCCTATTTACAGAAGCCAGTAGTATTTCTGCCTAGAGATATCCTTGTTTTGGAGTGGATCCATTGTTTATGTTTGTTGGTCTCAGTAAGTTCAGCAAGAGAGGTTGCTTCTGCTGTTTATCAGTATCCAAGACAGTATCCAGTTCATCTTTATTCTACATTCTGAGACCAGGATTGTATATTTACGGAGAAGAAAAAGACTATTCTCTATCATGTCCATTATATCCATCATTATACTGCATATTCATATCATAACACTACATATTACATATCATGTCACTACTAAAACTGGTAGTTCACTGGCAATGTACCTTCAGAAACAGTCTAATTAATACCTGAAAAAACAGGAGCTGAAAGTTTTTCTTCAGGTATCCTTGTTTGAGTTTGTAGATGTGGAACAACATGCCAGTGGAATACGTAGAGGTACATGGCAGTGAGAGATCAATGACTAAGAAATAGCGCCTTGAATTGAAGTAGACAGCTGTCATTAGGCTCCAACACAGCATGTATGTTCAGATGTATATGCTTGATATATACAAGTATGCCATCCCTCCTACAGACAGGATATGTGGCGTGTTGTGATCTCTGTGTTACAGTTTTCAGACTAGAGCAAAGTACAATTATTTTCCTTCTTCACTCATGCATAAATCTTTTGGACTCTTCTTTACATTCTGTCTTTCTCCACCCATTCTCTAGTTACTTTCATAGATTTTATGAAGCCACAGAGACTAACTGAAAAATTATGAACAAACATTTATCTAGGAATTGTTACAGCTAACTGTCAGGATCAACTTCTTAGTTCTATCTAGTATCAAAGAAAATATTAAAACATGCAAGACTGAAAACAAGAAAGAATCCAGGGTATTGTTTTACTCTGTACAGTAACATGCAAAGTATTACCACACAGAATTTGACTGGCATTTTAAAACTAGGACTGATGAAGAGAGCTTAAGTTCCCTTCACAAAACATTTTATTGTAATTACAATTGCTACCAAGTCAACAGCACCTGCACAATATTTTTTTTAAGACAATGCAAAAAATGTTATCATAATATCATCAGTGGAATGTGAAAATAAGTGCTCCTTTGTTCTCTCTGGACATATGCCTTCTGTTGCTGACAGTAACTAGATCTCCATTAGACAAAGATCATTACTTTGCTATTGAAAGTCTGCAAAGATGACAACAGGCACTTCTAAAGATACACTCTGCATGCCACAGTAGGGCATGGTTTTTTATTTGCAGCTAATGCTTTCACTGATCTTCACTAGCCAAAAAGAGATTCCCAGGGAAGCACTTAAAGATACAAGACTGGCCTCAGTGGAGATTCCCCAGAGTACGTACAACAAGCAGTCAGATGGAGATTTATCATGCACACTGAAACGTGCATTACTGGTGAAAGTGTGCCAGGCTGCAATTAACATAATATTGAAATTAACTATGAACTATGTAATACAGGATTAAATACAGCCCAGTATAGATGTTGAACTTCAATTAATTTTTAAATCTTTAATTAATTTTCTTCAATTAATTTTATCATAAGGGTAAAAAATGTGATAGTCTGAATCAAGTATTTCAGGAAAAATTAAATGTGAAACTAATCGATTCTTAAAGAAAGTACCAAGCATGCTGTTGTAAGGGAGTGTATGTGAATAGGGAGCCTGTGTGCTTAAATCTTTTTTAAATAAAAGTTCACAGGCACACAAATAATAACAAGTTTTCACAGAATGATGAAAAAAAAAAAAAAAAAAAAAAAAAAGAAAGAAAGAAAAAAGAACAAAACATGAAATCAAATGAGAGTGGCTGTTTCCATAAAATGAGTCTAGAAAAAAACAACCAATGATAATAGAGAATCATGTGGCCAAAAGAGTAGAGAGTGCTACAGGCATCCAAAGAAGCATCCAAAGTCCATTTTAAAAAATGATTTCTGCAAAAAATTATTTTATCTCCAAACTTCAGAACATTCCTGTCTCCACAGACCCATGCTTACCTACGGATACAAAACATACTCAATTTGTTTCTGAGCTTACAATGAAAACAAAACAAAACATAACAAAAGAGCCTCCTATTCCTTTCATGATAAGCAACTTATTCATGATAAGACAACTATTATCAGTTCTCCTGAGACTCAATGGTATGCACATTGCTATGATTCACACAGAAAGCACTTAAATGTTCCCTGTGCCGCACTCAGCTACAAAGATTTTGGTGAAATGTTCAGATATCACTCTTTCTGCTGTATATACAGAATGAGAGCTCTCTTCCAGGTTGTGGGGTGTGATGCCTGAAGCATTGCACAGAATTTATTTTTAAAAGGCAGAATTCAGATAAAACTCTGTATTGCAATGTACATCATGAACTGTGTGACAAGAAAAGCTGAAGCTCAGAGTAGAACTAGAAGTTCAAGGGAACAAAACTCATTAAGGAAAGAGGCAAAGATTCTTTGCTATCCCTCAGGTCTGTCTTGAATAGCATGTATGCACGCATTCATATAAGCTGCACAGCTATCCAACCCTGCACTCATATTGCAGCAATCTCTGAAAACCTGCAATTCAGTATAGTATTACCATTCTGTAGGAAAAACAAAGAGCATCAAAAATGCTCTAATTAAAGTAGGAATGTAGAGTCTTAGATGCAGAAACAAAATCATCACTGTGTAGGATCCTTCTAGGTGTACAGCTTGTCTTCTACTTTTTTAAACGTATCCACATGGCATCTTACTTATCAAAAGTTCATCAAAGTGCTGACAGACAGCAAGCTGCCTACATGCTACAGCAATATCTAGAATTACACGAGGTTCCAGAAAAGTGGACCTCATTTCTTCACAGTTGTAGCTCTCATAAAGCTCATGTCAGGTAATTGTGGTTTGAGTCAGATAACTTGAATTTATAAGAAATCAGAGCAAACTATTGCTCAGCTGTCAAATCTTCTAGGATACTGCATCCAACCCTGATTAAATGGGTTTAATATCAGGCATATTTGAATTTATATTCCATAACTTCCTATGCTCAAGGAAAGCCAATTGCTTACGGATTTCTTTTACTTACTAGTCTGAGGAAAGTTTGTCTTCATTCTAGACTAAGGGCAATAGAAGTCTGATTTGAGTAAGTTATCATATCTCTTCAAGTCTTATTTATGTTTTGAACTATAGCTGGATATGAGACAGCTAGAGAGTGTACTGAATCTCAATTCAAAATAATATACATGTCAGAGACAGAACGTTAATCTCAGAAGAGAGTTTAGGAGAGAGCATAGAGTGCTGGCTGGCAAGGAAATTAAGGGCAGAATATAATCTATAAAACCACAGGAGTCTTTGTTGTGAAGTGGCCAACTAGCATAGTGAGGAAATGTTTTATTCTTATCTTCTCAAATCCTTTGCATTTCATTACCAGAGGACATATGCCAGATTTCATGCTTTTCTATTAACCTTTTTTTTTATGCCACAAGGTTGCCTTAATTTCTCATTATGGAAGTGATAATGATTCTTGGAACTACTCCATAAAACATTGCCTGCTATTGTAATATTACTGCTTAAAATGGTACTGTGTAAAACCAGCTGCTGCTAATCAATTCTGGAGTATCCATGCCTTGAAAAAACATCAGTGGAGACCTGCATATGAACCTAAAAATGCTATCAGATTCTTTGCCTATTTTTCAAGTCATAAAATAGGTGTATATTTATTAATTAATTGTTAAGCCAATTAAATGGATTATATGCAGATAGTGTCTTGCAAGCAATTATTATTGTATCTTCCTCTCAGCAAAACCAAGCTGGATTTTTTCCAGTGACAGAAAGATAGACAGCTAATAAAGTGGGTGACCAAAAAGCAGAAATAGAAGCCATGAGGGACAAAAAACTCTTGTGAAATTTCAAACAAAAAGAATGGGCACATCTGTATAAAATTCAATTCTTAGAATTTACATAATTTCCATAATATTATTTCATGTAAATAATGCAGTTCCTCGCAATACGTCTGTGAGGAAAAATATCACTAGAAATAACAGCTCTAAAACACACCAGAAATAATAAAGAGCTCAAGGAAAATCAAGAACTCAAGGAAAGTCTACAGAAGAGTGAACTGGTGCACTTATCTAAGATATGAGGTATTCATATTAGAGAGCTCTTGCTCTCAGTGTAATTCCAAAATGCAAGAAACAGACTTTGGTTGAAGTACAAGGCACTATAAAGCCTGACATAAAGTCTTACTCTACGCCCCAGTAAAGGATGTCCCCGTCAGTGATCTGCAGAATACCCCTGGCTAAACACCATAAACTTCGGCCAAAAATCCAGTTCCATTTCTAGCAGTTAAAAACATAGTAAAAAGAGACTGAATGTATTTGTTTCATCCTTTTATTCCACACCTCACGTCATCACATAAGTTTTTCATACATTCCTTTCAGCAAAAGTTTAGACCCTTGGAAGCTTTATATTTTAATAACAGTCCAGTCCCACACTTGAAACATCAGGTAGATAAAAGTTGCACAGCCAACTGGAGTTAAAGAAGACCAACAAATTTCTACTGTGATTTGGATAAAAAGTTATTGACGAGAGAGCTGAGGTTCGACAATAATGAACTAATTGCCGGGAAATACAGGGCCCAAGTCTCTCAGTATGTCCAAGGCTGATAATATGCAATTTTTTTATTTTTTTTTTTTGAGCTTCTGTGTATCTCTTGTGCCATATTTAAAAAAAAAAAAAAAAAAAAAAAAATATTTGACTAACCTGATAAATATTCTTGAAAATACTTCTTTTTTTTTTCTTTTTATTCTTTTTTCTTTTTTTTTAATACTACAGCATCTTATCAAAGGCTAAAACAAGATTCAGATTTGATGGAGTAACAGAACTTGGAAATGATGAATTTTAACAAATTACAACAGCACCAATACTGAAAACCTAACAGTTAGCATGTGAAACTTTTCTCTGGAGCAATCTAGAAAGACTGGGAGAAACAGAAGAGTTTTATAAGTTATCAATCAATGTATTCCAAATTCAATTACATATAATTTATATCTGTCGTTGTCCACGTCACAGATACAGAAGCACAGCATGTTATTGTGTACAAAAAAAAAAAAACCAAAAAAACCCAAAATAGAACAAAACAAAACAAAACAAAACAAAACAAAAAAAAAGAATACATGTCAAAGCCCAAAAGCATACATCAGATTATTTATTTCTTGTATAAAAAATATCATGAATATTATGCTTCTTCTACTTTATTTTCGGATTTGTACCAGGAATCTGATGTACAGTTAACATCGCAGTTTTATTTCCAGACTTATGGCTTCTTTGAACCTGATCAATAGTTCAGAATTGCTCTCTGCTCAGTTCTACAGCAAATAAACACACTGTAGAGACAGCCAAGTACCTTGTTTGCATCTTTCCAAAATGGCTCTGTTTAAGAAGGAAAGATAATTTCATAGTCATAGCAATGAAAAGCAAACCTTCATAGAATACTGCCTTTCAAGGTATCCCAGATTTTTTTAAAACTAAAATATGAATTGAAACACAGGCCTTACGAATAAGAATTGCAATTCTAGAATTACTAGAACGCTTAATACTTGAGACCATGCCTGAATTTTTATGCTTTTCACATATAGAGTTATGTATTTTCTTCCTATGGATTAAAATAAAAGTTACTGTCTGAAAAGATATCCTGTTGGCAGTAGCTCTGAATTTATTAAGTAAAACAATAATTCATATTCAGTCACACAAGCAAATATACTGTTTATTTTTCTGCATCTAAACTACCAATGATATAGATCAGAATGGCAGATATAAATATATATATAGATATATATAGATATAAAGTAGACAGAATATTTATAGTACCAAGTGAGGAAGACACCAGTAGTCTGGTAAAGTTGGCTATAACTAGTTTTAGCCCAGTCAACATTTGAAAATTACAGATGGGAACTATAGGAAACAAATCATTTTATTTTGATTTACATCCATGAATTGCTTGTTGATTTTCCACTGGTAAGGAAAAATGATGAATGTCTTCTAAATGTTCTGCTAAAACAAGAGAATGAGGTAGCATAGATTAAATGGGAATGGAAGGCTGGCAGTAGATAGTCCATCTGACTACGGTCTGCTTTTCCATTTTCCTTTTGAGCTGTACTTAAGTACTTCAAAGTGTTAGAATTGTTTCTCGCAGAAGGCAGGGGAAGTAGATAATTCAAAGAAAATCAGAAATCACCCCCTTCATGAGAGCACAGATAAAGTTTTCCAAGCCACCATCTCTGCGGATTCACTTCCGTTTCCCTCCTTGGATTGACTCTGGGCAAGTTTTCATTGTTCTCACTGAAGACTTTACTTCAAGTACTGGGATAAGAATATTAAATGTACAGTGCCTCGTACATGTGAAATGACAGTAAATGATACTGATCTGAACTCTTTAGGTTCTGAAATGTGATTTACTTAGCTTATTCATTGCATTGTTATCATGAGTCTATATAAAACATGAATTTATATGAAAAATACAGCCTATGTTCAAGCAAGAAGAAAAATTTTACTTAGGCTGATAAATATTTTGCCTATATTACACTAAATTCTGTTTTTCTTCCTTGTTAAAAGGAGCTCAGTTAGCAAGTACTGCTTAGAAAATGTCAGTATCAGTATTTGTGAAAAAAAAAAGGGGGAAAAAAAATGAAGATGCTCACATGCTCACATAGGAGTAAAAAAAATATTATCACCACTAACTGGACTATGGGTTATATTCTGATAAATTCTAAGTCCTTTCTGAATTTTTCTACTGAAGCATATCTTATTTTACTCCTGTTTCATATTATGGGTGTAGATTAAAAAGAAAAAAAAGAAAAAAAAAACATTTTTACATAACGTCAGCCCTGGTATTTAGCAAGACCTAGCAAGAATGAATTCATTCATGTTCTGCCATTCTGAACGTCATGCCAACCTTATATTTAAAAAAGATCAATATTCTTGATCCTTTCTTTAAACAAATGTTGTTGTTGAAAATTAAAACACTTCCCACATTAACAAGATGCTTTGCAATTTGTCAGAAAAAAATCACACCATTGTAATCGTACAAAAATGTTTCTTGTATCCAGATCATTCCAGTATCAGTACAGAATTATTGTTAATGTTTTATCTTACTATAAAGTATGTGCTTGATTTTAACACCAAATGTTGAAAGGAATGAACAAAAGGGCCATTGCACTTATGTATCTTACAGAAGCCACACAATACCCTAATTTCCTCAATCTTTCCTCCAACTGCATATAAATGTATAACAAGTAACTGGACTGTGGTCGAATCTTTTCATTTACTCACTAGTGGAGAGCAACTGCCTTCCCACAGCTAACCAACTTGCAAAACTGTCTTCAAAGGGGAAGTAAAGCACACATTTGAACAAAAGATGAAGAATTATGATAAAAGCAAATTTGCATCAAAAGAAACAAGAAGAAAACAAAATTTTCACATTGTTGAGCTACATACAGAAAAAGAGTATACACTTCATACATATAATTATAGCTGTAATTACCATTTCCTTCATTGGTGGCTGGCTTTTCATTTTTAGGCATTGTGACTGTATTTCACAGGGCTGCTCCAGATGCCACCAGTATAGGAGATTGTCTGAAGGTTGAGCGGTCTGTTATAAAGTGTTATCCACATCAACTTTGTCCCGTCTGTCACTGCACAGCTGGTGCTGAAGTTTCACCGACTGAAATATAAGAAGATACTAATTTCCTAAGTAATTAATCTTTCATGAATGTTTAGTTTACTACTTAGGTTTTGCATGCTAGGGTCAAAAGAATGGAAGAAATTGTTCATCTTCTTATTACAGGAAAAAAAAAAAAAAAAATCCTGCAATGTACTCATCTATGACTAACAGCAATGTTTAAATGTTAAAGTGCATTGGTAGACACAGATGTTGCGTGGTGTTCACATGGAGAAACTCTGACACTGTATGCAGGTCTACACTTTAACAGTGTTGCATATGGAAGACTGCATATGAATGGTTATTTCTTATGAAAAACAACCTTTGTCATAGATACATATTTAGATTGCATACCTTTACAAAAAAAAAAAAAAAAAAAAAAAAAAAAAAAAAGCATCCTAAAACACATTTAAAATACAGCAAATGGAACTTGACACTGATATATCTGTTGGTTTATGTTTGCATCACTGGATGTAGAAATTCCCTTAAGATTTTTTGCTTCTCTCAGTATGCATATACCATACCAAGTATGCAGTAACAGATTTACCCTGAGTCACCATGGACTTACAACACTAGGCAGCTTTTATGATTAGACAAAGCAAACATTTTATTAATGAGACACAAGTCAGGCTTGGAAATAAAAATTAGAAATAATGTATTACAAGTATCATCTTTGGAAGAAAGGACAGGCAACTTCGAGATAGTACAAAGATGTTGCAAAGAGGAAATGAGAAGGCAAAAACCCAGCTAGAACATAATCTGGCCACTCTTGTGAAAAATAACAAAAAATGTTTTCACAAATATGAAGGCTGCTCTGAAAGTAATGCCTACTATTCTATTACGTTGATCAACAATGTCAGAGGTAAATATTGGTGTATGGCAGTAGAGGCTGAACCTTCCGACCAATATTTTCTTACATTTTGTTGCCGTGTAGTTTCCACAGAAATAAATGGGAGGAATTACTTTTGGAGCAACCTACACACATAAACAACAAAAGAAGGCCAAGAAGAATCTCCATTCTTTATTGCATGTGGCAGAGAACATTACCACAAAGGATGAGGAAAAGGCTGAGGTACTCAATGCCTTTTTTTGCTTCTGCCTTTAATAGTCAGATCAGTTACCCTCAGAGTACTCAGATCCCTGACATGGAAGACAGAGATGGGGAGCAGAATAAACCTCCATAATTCAGGAGGAAACAGTGACCTGCTATTCCACCTATCACAAGCATCTGGGACTCAATTAAATCTACTCACGAGTACATATGGAGCAAGCAGAAGTGCTCGCCAAGTCACTTTCCATCATTTATCAGCAGTCCTCGTCAACTGAGAAGGTCCCAGAGGACTGGAGACTCGCTAGTGTGACACCTGTGTACAACAAGGATGATGCAGGAAATGACAGGCCCATCAGCCTGACCAGGGAATGTTATGGAGTAGATCATTTTGATTGCAATCACATAGCATTGTGGGACAATCAGGGCATCAGGTCTAGCCAGCATGGACTCATGAAAGGTAGGTCCTGCTTGACAAACCTCCTCTCCTTCTTTGACCATGAGACCTGCCTGGCAGATAAGGGAAAGGCTGTGGACATTCTCTGCCTCAACTTCAGCAAAGACTCTGGCACTGTCTCCCACAGTACTCTCCTGGAGAAACTGGCAGCTCATGGCTTAGATCGTGGAACAGATCATCCTGCGTAACATGCTTAATCACATGAGGATAGGGTGTGGGACCCGAAACCGCCAGCGCGGCTTCACCAGGGGAAGGTCATGCCTGACCAATCTGGTGCTCTTCTATGATGGAGTGACAGCATCAGTGGACAAGAGAAAGGCGACCGATGTCATTTACCTGGACTTGAGCAAGGCCTTTGACATGGTCCCCCACCACATCCTTATCTCCAAATTGGATAAGAAACTGGTTGAAAGGCCGCAGACAGAGGGTGGTCATCAATGGCTCTATGTCCAGGTGGAGGCTGGTAATTAGCAGTGTCACCCAGGGGTCTGTCTTGGGACCGGTGCTCTTCAACATCTTTATCAATGACATCGATGACGGAATCGAGTGCACCCTCAGCAAGTTTGCTGAGGACACCAAGCTGAGTGGCGCAGTTGACACAGTGGAAGGAAGGGATGGCATTCAGAGGGACCTTGAGAGGCTTGAAAGGTGGGCCCAGGTGAACCTGATGAGATTCAACACAGCAAAGTGCAGAGTTTTGCACTTGGGCCAGAGGAATCCCAGGCATCCATACAGACTGGAAGGAGCAGTGCTTGAGAGCAGCCCTGCAGAGAAGGACCTGGGGGTCCTGATGGATGAAAAACTCAACATGAGCCAGCAGTGTGCTCTTGCAACTCTGAGGTGCCCAGAGACGTTGTGGATGCCCCGTCGCTGGAGGTGTTCAAGGCCAGATTGGATGAGGCTCTGGGCAGCCTGGTCTAGCATTAAATGTGGAGGTTAGTGGCCCTGCATGTGGCAGGGGTGTTGGAGATTCATGATCCTTGAGGGCCCTTCCAACTGGCCATTCTGTGATTCTGTGATTCTGTAGACAGGTGTTGTCTTTTCTGGGTAAAAAAATGGCTGAGGAGCTGGGCCCAGAGAGTGGTGATAAATGGATTTAAATCCAGATGGGGAATAATCAAAGAATCAAAGAATCACAGAATCATAGTCATATGTTCTGTAGGAGTCAGTACTGGGGCTTTATTGATCTGGATGAGAGTATTGAGTGCATCCTCAGTAAGAATGTAAGTGACGCCAAGCTGGGAGGAAGTGTCAATCTGCTTGGGAGAAGGAAGGCCCTATAGAGCAATCTGGACAGGCTAGATAGATGGGCTGAGACCAGTGGGATGAAGGTCAATAAGACTAAGCCCCAGATCCTGCACTTTGGCCACAGGAACCCCAGGAAATGCTACAGGCTTAGGGTAGAGTGGTTGGAAGGCTACACAGAAGGAAGGATCTCAGAACGTGGGTCAGCAGCCAGCTGAACATGAGCCAGCAGTGTGACTAGGTAGCCAAGAAGGCCAAGCATCCTGGCTTGCTTCAAAAACAGCAGAGTCAGGGAAGTGACTGTCCCCCTGTACTAGCATTTGAGACTACACCTCAAGTACTGTGTTCAGTACAAGAAAGACAGTGTGGCCCTGGAGCATGTTCAGAGGAAAGCAATGAAGCTGGTGAGCAGTCTGGAGCACAGGTCTTACAAGGAGCAGCTGAGAGAACTGGGATTGCCTAGTCTTGAGAAGAGGAGGCTCAGGGGAGACATTATCACCTTCTTTAACTCCCTGACAGGAGGTTATGGTGAGGTGGCTGTCAGTTTCTTCTCCCACATAACTAGCAACAAGAGGTAATGGTTTCAAGTTGTGCTAGGAAGATTCATGTTGGATATTAGGAACAAATTAATCTCTGAAAGTGGTAAGGCATTGGATATTCAGGGAGGTGGTTGAGTCACCATATCTGGAGGTGTTCAAGAAGGGTGCAGATGTTGCCATTAGGGACATGGTTTAGCAGGCATGATCAGCTTTCATCCTCTCTGCAGCACATCAGTTGTGCAGAAAAATAAATAAATAAATACCCTACATTTAATTTATCTCTATGTGACGGCAATCAGAACAACATGGAGTTAATGAATTCCATAACAAATGATAGAAAAAAAATAAAAAATGGAGACAGGTCAAGAGAACCTGGGCTCATTCCTTAATGACTTCATTGAACATTTTTTCTTTTAGCAAATATGTCACACTTTTATTTGTTCAAATCTGTACCTCCTCATCAGAGACAATTTCTACACAATAAAAATTCAGAAGTATGCACAATATACAAAGGCTGAAGATCAAAACAAATAATTACCCCTTTACCATAACCAAAACTGATAAAACACCCTGCATTGAAGGAAGAGTAAACTATTTGTTCACATATTCTTCCTAATGTCATTAAATGATAACTAGTTTGATAGCCAAAGTAGATAAAGTTGACATCAAATAATGACAACATAACTGTGGTTGGCACAAATATTTGAGTTCCGGTAAATTTCTCAGGCTCAATTTTGCTTGTAGTCAGCATTTAAGTTATAGTGACATAACCTACTAACAGTAAAATAACTGTCATGGTGTCCTTCTAGTAAGATGAAACATTCTGCTTGTTGACTTTCTGCGATTCAAGATGTATTTTCCATTGGTTTCCATATACATTGTTAAACCTAAGGCAATAAATAATTTTCTAGACCTTTTCTACCGAGATTGCTTTTCAGGATGGAATTTTAAAATGCTGTTTTGCTTTGGGTGCTCAAAAGGCATATTCTGATCTGTTGAATCAGATGGTAAAATCAGGCAATTCTAGATGTGGATATGAAAGCAGAAGTCACTGCACTGCTACTGAAAAGGCCTTTTTTTACTATGTAAGGTAATACCTGCATTGATCCTTCCCTAACCTACTGCATCCAAATGAGTCAACAAGCCTGAACAGCATTAATGGTTAAGTCTGCACCTAACATCCTCATTATCCCACATCGTTTCACAGCTCAGTGGATGGTTACACAGATCATGTCTGGGAGCAAAAGGAGGCTACAATGGGAGGGCCAGGGCAGGATGCTGGTGACCCCAGGAGGGTCAAAACATCCTCAAGGGACACAACCCTGCCGTATGTCAAAAGCACGGTAGTGGTGGAAGCACCAGGAGTCCCTGTCGAGGCTGAGCAGACACCGTGTCAGGTGACAAATCCCATTAATTACAAATCCCATTAATTAATTTCATGGAAGAAACATAAAAGCTGGCTTGCATCAATACTGACTCCCAAATTAGCTTTTCAGCTCCTGAACACTGATCAGGCACTATTGTGAAACAGAAACACTGGTAACCTTGCTCTGAAGCCACACTGGTATTCATAGAAAAAGGAAAAAACACAGCTACTTCATAAATTGACATGCAAACAAAATTTGTGTGGGTAGAGAACATCAAATGAAAAGGCAAATCTAACACCCAAGCCAGATGTCTATATGAAATTTAAATCAAGTTTAGCATGTATTGT